GATTCAGCTGCTGGTCAGTTTCAGCAGCGGCTGAATCGGGGAAGCCGGGTGCAGAGCAGCTTCAATTGTCCGGCAGCCAGAGCACTTCTGGGTTCCTGATGGTGCCGGACCATCAGGAGTGCTGGAGCATTGGATGCCGGATCAATGGAGTTTTACTGTACTTGGAAAAGATACAGTATTTATATAAAAATGAGAAAATCCCAAACAGTATCAGGGGCATGGGTGAGCACACAATTCTAACTACTATAAATTACCTGTTTTTTGTGGTTCAGAATCCTTAATGGTAAACTATCCCTGACCACCCACTTGTGACGGACCGGGCTGGGTCTGGGCACAGCTGAGGGCATCCGCTCAAGGCTCCTTACAGCCCGTGATTGGAGGCCCTTCCCAAAGAGGCCACAAACCAGTCACACACACAGAGCACTTCAGCTGCCGATCTGACCAGCCAGAAGCCTCACGAGCAAAACCCCTCTGATACTCCAGCTCTTCCTGTACCCCAATCAGCTCCGGGTCTACACACAAGAGAAGGGTTATAGAACCCAATCTCACCTACCTCAAACGGGTTATAGAACCCAATCTCACCTACCTCAAACCAGCCACAGGTCCCAATCAATTCACACTCTGAATCTTACCCACAAGACCACACTGAGCCAATCCTTTAGAATCTAAAATCTAAGGCTGTGTCTACACTGGCATGAATTTCCGGAACTGCTTAAAACGGAATACTATTCCATTTTCAGTTTTTCCGGAAAAGGAGCATCTACATTGGCAGGCTGCTTTTCCGGAAAAGCCCTTTTTCCGGAAAAGCGTCTGTGGCTAATGTAGATGCGCTTTTCCGGAAAAGAGCCCCGATCACCATTTTCGCGATCGGGGCTTTTTTCCGGAAAAGACTACTGGGCTGTCTACACTGGCCCTTTTCTGGAACAGTGTTCCGGAATAAGGACTTATGCCCGAGCGGGAGCAGAATAGTTTTTCCGGAATAGCGGCTGATTTTGTACAGTAGAGCATCGTTGCTTTTCCGGAAATTCAAGGGCCAGTATAGACAGCTCGCAGCTTATTCCGGAAAAGTGGCTGATTTTCCAGAATAAGTGGCCCAGTGTAGACACAGCCTAAAGGTTTATTACTAAAAGAAAGAAAAGCACGAGAGCAAGGTTGTTAAAGTCACCTAGTTCTCAGCATCAACACAGAGCACATATTTATAACTCCACTCACATACATCATACAAGTACACAAATAGAATATACAGAATCAGTAGACCATAAGCTCTCATTTGACACCTCACATGGCCTCCTTTGTATACAATTTGAGGCAAATATCCCCCCCCCCATGGGTGGCTGCTCCCCTTAAAATCCAGTAACGTGACACCACCCAATGCTTTTCTCATCAATACAGACAGACTCACTGGTGGTGAAGAGGTTGGCTCTGTTCCAGTTTAGCAAAGCCCACACCACCAGGTCCAGCTATAACATACAGCTAACTTGTCTGGATTCACTTGGTCGGCTATACCAGCTTGGCTCTTGCCCAGTCCAGTTCAGTGAACTGAGCTCCTCCACCATCACTACTGGTCCAGCCCTACACTCTAATATATATGTAACCCCCAAGGATATTACCTAGATTCCTAGGGCTCTGTCTGCTGGCAGCTCAGAGAGAGGCACTCTGAGTTTGACTTGGCTCCCCCTCCCTACCAGGGACAGAGCCTGCCTGGCAACCCATAGGGAGTGAGGGGCCCCTCCCAGAGAGTTCAGGGGGGTAAGGAGGAGCCATTGTTAGAGGAGTCTGGAGCCAGCCAGAGCAAGGGGAGGACTGGCTGTGTGGGAGCTAGTAAGCCCCAGGCCTGCATGCAGGGTTCCCCCTGAGAACTAGCCTCTAGGGACCTGAAGGCAGGATCCCTCAGCTGGGTTTTATTTCTCCACTGTTGATTCCCAGTTTGTGGAGTTTGCTGGGAGGCTTCCCCAGCCACGCTGAGTTGGCTCTCCAGCTCCCTGGGTGAGACCAGTCACCGCATGATCAGCTCTGCTCTGTCTGCTGGTTCGGGGCTGCTGCCTGCTGTGTGTGTGTCTGAATGCTGGGGTAGGAGATTACAGTTTGAATTTTAGTGCAATTGTGTGGCCTGCACCTTGAGCCTTGCATCCCTTTGTGGCGAGGGGAAATTCTGAGACCAAAGCAGCCTGATTCCTGCCTGAGGAGGATCCCTGCCAGAAGAGACCAGCTCCTCTGCAGTGACTGAGTCATCTCTGAACCTGAGCCTCATTCATGGAGTGTGTCCTTTAGTTAGTAAGTCAGGGAATTTGATGATTTTATAACCTGCTGCATATTAAACCTGTGGAGGGATTTATCACTTGAGAGTCCTTTGGGCTATATTGGACCCATTCAGCCTCACTGCTAAACCACTGCAGAGAAGAAATTTGTGGTCATAAATCATCAAGGGCCCCAAACACGTACCAACGGGACACTAATCTTACAGTTGCTGGGCACCAGTGACCCTAAAAATAGTGTTTTACCCTGTTATGTTATATTTGTCTCCTGTTTAATATAACTGTGTTTATTATAGTGTATGTGTTTGTGTTATTTTCTGGGAGTCTCCAACTATCTGGCAAGTACGTGGGGATTTCCCTGGGTTAGAATTTTCTTCCCAAGCTGCCCTGGTGACCCTGCCAGGAAGGAATGAGGGGGATGGAGGCACCGCCAAATAAATCCATCAGAAAAAATAAAGTTGAGTGGGTGGCGGTATCCAGAAGATCCCAGACTTGTCCATCAAAACCTGTAAGCAGATTGGCATTAAAGAAGGTAACCAGGTGGAGAGGGGGCGCTACATATACACTGCATCAGAGTCATAAATAGATAATTTGGCACCTGAGGCAAGACCATCCTTGGCATGGGTGCTGACATGGCATGAGGCACGAGTGAAGACAGTGTAGTAGTTATCTTTTCTGCGCCCCTTCAGCTATGTGCCCAAGGCAAGTGCCTCACTCGCCTCACCCTTGTTACAGCTCTGCACTGCATTATGCAGGCCTGAGTCCAACCAACCATATGCTGGCTTTTAAGCTGGCTCCTTGGCAGCACAGACTCCCCCAGAGCTGCCTGCCCTGGGCACTGACAGAGGCAGCAGTGTGGTGGTGGTGGTGGTGGTGGTGAGGAGCTGGCAGTAGCCTGCTGCCTGCACATCAGCTCCCAGACAGCTGCCTGGCCCTTGCCCTCCCCCACCCCACTGCTGCCTCTATCAGGAGGGGAAGAGGAGGGGAAGCTGGGTGTTACTGTGAAGGTCAATTGATGAGCCCAGGCTCATCAGTTAACCATATACCCAGGTACATTATCATATCCCTACTGGATATAGCAAATTATCTTTATTTTTATAATGTAAAACATTAGTAGCATAATCAAGGGATTGTTTTAAATATTAACTTCAACACTGCACTTTCCCTTCACTATTTATTTCCAATTGTGTTTTATAATATTTTAAATTAGCATCATACTAATTTAAGTTCTCAGATTGTGGTATGTAAAAGCCTAAGAATCTTAGGTACTTACATGCGTTCCATTGGCCCCTGAGCACCTCACAAATCTTTAATGTAAAAACTTAAATAAACAACAAATGGTCTGGTAGCACTTTATAGACTAACAGAACATGTAGATGGTATCATGAGCTTTTGTGGGCACAGCCCACTTCTTCAGATGACCCTTTAATGTATTCTCTTCGCAACCTCATGTGATTGAAGTATGATCTCCATTTGACAAACAGGAACTGAGGAACAAGGCTAACCTCAGCTCACAGAATAATGTGGTAGAGCAGGGAATACATGCTGCTCTACTTGAGTCTCAAGGCCCCCTAACCACGGGGCCATTCTTCCTCTCCGTGCAGAAGAGCAGGACTAGTCACCGTACAAGGAAAAACCGAGGGCAGCAGAAAAGCGGGTTGAACACAGTTTGAAGCAAACAAGCATTTGCAGCCCCCCGTCCCTTGCTAAGCACCGACCCGCTGCCCCACGCCCGGCGAGTGGGGACGCAGCTAGGTTCCAGGAAGCTGGGTTTCCCTGTTTTGCCCACAGTGGATGTTAAGCTCTCTCCGCTTTGCAGCTCCCCGCCTTGGCTCCGGCCCCCCGGGACAGCCCAGCCCAGCCCAGCCCAGCGCAGCTCCCTTCCCGGCCGGGCCAGGGCTATCGATCCGCCTTCCCTTGCTGCGCCTCACCAGGAAG